CCGGTCGTATGTCCGCCAAAATGGCGCACTGTTTGGACGCCGGGTCGCCGATGGAGACGAGAAAAAAGGATCCGTCGCTCACACAGCAGCCGAAGCACTGGTCGTTGAGCTCCGGGTGCCACACGATATCCGACACGTGTCCGGTGCTGTTGAATAGGTTTATGCGATTGAATGGTAAGCTCTGAATGGTGTGAATGAGACAATTGATTAGGATTTTATGGTCATTGCGGTGATTATGGGATCAAACCTGTGACTGATTCCTGTGGACATCGGACACGTCAAAGAATATGATAAACGGCGCCGTCGATGACTGATAATCGGCGCCACAGACGGCTATCTTATGGCCGAAACCGGCGGCCGATATCGATATGAGATGTGGTGTGAAGTTGAGTGCGATCTTGAAGTGCGGGAACCGCTCCACCGTCTCGTTGATCACCGATTTGTTCCACTCAAACGCCAACAGCTGTGGCAATGGTGTGACCAACAGGTGAGTGGATGTGATGGCGAACACCGTCTGCGAGTGATTATCAATGGCCACAGACTTGAGTCCATCGGCGGTCGACTCGCCGCCGGATATGACATACTTCTTGAGCTCAAGAAACTTGAGGCTCTGTTCCGGGAAGTGATGGTAAAAGACAAGTGATTAACACATGAGAGCAATGGTGTGTACAAGTGGTTCAGTGGATGTGTGTTTGGGTGATGTCTTAAGACATGTCTTACGCTGTTATCGATGGAAATCCCGGTTTTGGTCGACATTTGCGGACAATTGGTGTATGTATTGAATGACTAAAGCATTGGTTTTGACGTCAATTTGGTGTCGATTTGAGTGATGTTTACGAAACCAGTGATCACTTCAATGTACGGCAAAAATGCGTTCAATTTTCGTGTCAAACCAATAGCGCTACGGCTGCTCATAAACTACGTGACCGTATGTCTCAATGGGGTTGTCAATAAAAAGCGTTACAAATGCATATCATTTACTGCCCCCTATAGTAAAATCATAGGGGGATCGTTAGAGTAATTACAGTGTTTTTAGTCCCCCACCCATATTGCATGGTAACGTTGTTAGTGACTGTTATCGCTTATAGTTGAGTGAACGTAAGTCAAGCGCATAATCGCATAGAAATGCATTGAAGTGTCACTCATCTAACGCTCGCACAACAGTAACCTCATAGCGATAGCACTGACTGTGAATCACGTGACTCCGTGGCAGACATTATCAACAAAAACACTAACGACTGTCTCCTCGACGGCAACTGTGGTCTCAATTGGTACCCATCGGTGAAGGCGTGTTGATTGACGACTATCTAACTCGCGGACAGACATCACACTCGAGGAATGGGAGGACACGTGTTCGGGAAGTTAGCGTTCGTGCGGAACGTGATATACGTGCGACTGTCCCCTTACGAGCAGAAGGCTTTCCCCAACTACTTGGCCAAC